ATGCCAGTATGTCTTTCCTTATAGAGGGGCCTCAAAACTTCACAATTTTCCAGCTGTGTACCAACTAGTGCCTTATACAGTTTTAGCAAAAAGAGCTTGCTGGTCACTTGCAGGCTTATTACTGGAACTTTACCTGTGCCTTTTGCACAGATTAATTAATTAGTTAAGCCACTTTAGATAATTACCAACTAAACCTCAACATTTACATTTCCTTCCAAAGGCAAAGCAAATGGCTGTAAACAACAGGAAACACCATTAAAGCTTCAATTATGGCATCAAGCAAACAGAAATCACAAGTTAAAGGTCAAGTCTCTCAGCAGTCAGCAGCATACCATGAATTTGCTCATAAATCCTGCACCATTCGCAGTGAGTAGCTGTGGGATAGTTAGAAATAGACTATCAGAAAACATGGAAACAAATAGCATTCTATTCCATCTGTCAACAGAGGATTTTCATTCGGAAAGTGCTCCAGAACCAGCAACAAGTCAAAACTTGGACAATACTTCTAATTTTTAAATAGAGCAGCTCAGTTCTGGCTTGCAAGATACGAATAAATTGTTGCTACATCAGGTTTGCAGACCATTAATGAAATGCATTTTTATACATTAGAGATGATGCATTAGCTTTTAATATCAAAACATTTAGAAGTACAAAGTCAATCAAATTTTTGGTATTTACACGAAACAAGATACAGTCCGTAGCTAAGTGACTTTTACATTTTTCTTCATATCTTTCAAGGATAGTAACTAAACCAATAAACAACTCAAGAGTAATCAGATGCTGCTTGGCCTGCTGTGTTCATCCAGCCCTGCACCTTGTTGTCTCAAGAGTAATCAGACTGTGGTCTAGAAGAGACTGGTTAGTACTGATCACAAGAAATGGGATAAGGCCAGATATATCTTACAAATTTCTCAATTCTACAGTGTCTATTGCAGTTTTATTTAAATTTTCTCTAAATCTGCAATAGTATACACGAGAACTTAGGCAATCATTATTACTGCTCTTAAAGCAGTTTAACTAAGATCAAATAGCATAAACATAAATACTTGTTAACCACGGGCAGTGTTCCATATCTTACAGTGACTCTTTTCCTCACTGCTCCATGAAGGTTGACAAATTTTATCTGGCCTTATCTGAACGAGTAATTATGATTTCTGTATTGTTAGCTCATGTGTAGTTTTTGACCACCTTGCCAATTTATTCCAAGTGCTCCAAATCCCTGCCATAGACACTAATCTTGCTGTTTAAATTAAAACTTAAAATAAAAGCACTCCAGAGTAGTCATCAGGTTGAACTGGTTTTATGCACACTCCTTTTGAGTTTCTGGTATTTGCATTGAATCAGGCAAAAATTTCCATTTCACTTACTTAACGTCGTCAATAATGTGAACAGGCAATGGCCTAGTGACACCATCCCTAGATATTAATTCAGAGACGTTGGTATTGGTCTGGGGACCCAAGTATGAATCACACCTCAGCGAACGGCCGAATTTGATTTTGATAAAAATTTGGAATTAACTTTCTAATGACGATCACAAAACCATTGCTAATTGTTGGGAGAAACAAAACATCTGGCTCATTAATGCCCTTTAGGGAAGGGAACTGCCTGATCTGGACTACACGTGACTCCAGATGCAAAGCAAGGTGGTTGACACTTGACTGCTCCCTAGGCAATTAAGGATCAGCAATAAATGTTGGCCTAGCTAGTGATACCCACATCGTTTGAATGAAGAAAGAAAAGTTAAATGGTCTTCCTGTCCGTACTTATGCTGCAATTTTGTGGTTTATCAAATCCAATTTATTTTAATAAAGTGGCTTTCATAATAGCAGCTTATATTTTTTAAGAAGCAGAGGTCATGTTTAATGGGTTGCATGTTTTGAATTTACTTCAGAGGGTTTTAAGTTTTTATAGAGTCATAGAGACATACGTCACAAAAACAGACCCTTCGGTCTAATTTGTCCATGTTGACCAGATATCCTACATTAATCTAGTCCCATTTGCCAGCATTTGGCCAATATTCCTCTAAATCCTTCCTGTTTATATACCTACCCAGATGCCTTTTAATTGTACTAGCCTCCACTACTTCCTCTGGCAGCTCATTCCACATATGCACCACCCTCTGCGTGAAAAAGTTGCCCCTTAGGTCCCTTTTATATCTTTCCTCTCTCAGTTTAAACCTATGCCCTCTAGTTTTGGACTCCCCCACTCCGGGGAAAAGACCTTGACTATTTACCCTATCCATGCCCCTCATGATTTTACAAACCTCTATCTCAGCCTCCA